GACTTACTTTATTTCACTTCACCACATTTACTCACATGTCACATTTTGTCCATGTGAAAAAAAAAAAAAAACATAGTGGAAGTGGTGGTGCTGCGGATAATGATTTATTCACAGTCTTTAAATATTAGTTCAGGCTTCTTTAACAGATTGGGAAAAAATAACATTCTAAATAAAATCTGATTTATGTTTAAGTCTCGTATAAAATTATTTTTCTAAAGTTCTGATTGATTCTTACAGATAGATGAATTAAACTCACATCCAGTTTAGCTCTGTACCTGCAGGTTTTCTGCCACCTAACACTAAAAGTTGAAAATTTATATTTACAAGAAGACTGGAAGAGCATATGACTCTACAAATCTTATCCTTTTACTGGTTTGTCCTCCAATATGACCAATGAAGCGTTCTCCACGCGGATATCCTCTTTTTTGTCTTTCTCCGTCTGGTTGCAATAAATCCGCAGCAGTGAAGTGAAGTGCCCTCTGAACCTGYGGTATTAGTTTTAAATGCTGAGATAAGCACTTGTGCGCCGCTCGTTTCCATGAAGTTAACAGTACATGACGTGATTCTCTTTTGAGCTTGAAGACCTTTCAGCAGACAGAGCTGACAGAGATAAGAGGGAACATTTCAGATCAAACATGGCTSTGTTTTGAACAAAGTGAGCTTTAGTCTAGTTCCAAAAAATGGTGACAAGTACAATGTGTGTTATGAATTAATTTTATTAATTAGATTTTGTTCTTCTAGCCACAGCCTGTGGTTTTCAGGGGTTTAATCAGTGCTTATAGGAGAGTCTGCCTGTCTCAGAAATGGATGGATGTAGTAGCCCCAGGGAGCARGGGACGGCACCCTCCCATCCTGCCCCGATGAATGGAAGTCCAAGAGGAGATTACATCTTCAAACACAAACGAGTCACAACCAAACGGCGGCGCAGAGGAACTCTGTACACTTATCATATCCTTTCACAGGAATCATCAGCTATTACCCACCCAGCAGCTCCACCCCGTGCCTTTTGGCAGTGAGTGTGGATGGTAATAAAGAAAATACAACAAATCCCAACAAAATAAAAAAAAATGCCTGTCTGTCTGTTAGCAAAATAACTTGTGAACCCCTGGGTGGATTTTAATGAAGCTCTCTTATTGACCATTACAGCTGATTAATCTTTGAATTCAATTCAGCTCGAGATGACAAACAATTTATCAATCAGCAAACACAAAAATGGCTAATCGGTGGCCATTTTTACGGCTACTAAACTAAAATCAGATGTGGTTTCAGCTGAGGTTAACTGATTTTGTGAGATATTTGTTTAAGATGTTAGCAAGTAAAATGTTTAGTGATATGCATTCCTTTAAGAAATGCCAGTTCTTCGATTCAGTTCAGTTTTGCAACAAACGTCTCAGGTCCCCGTACAAAAACATTCACGTACATTATGAAAGTCAATTGGTAAAAGCTGTCAATCTAAGGAAGCCAGCAGATTCTTTCGTTGAATTCTACAAATTCTGAGCAGCACATTGGTGACAGTGGGATAAAACAACTCCCTTTTAACAGGAAGAAACCTCCAGCAGAACCAGGAAGAATGGCTGGAGGTTTGCCTTGACTGGCTGGGTTTGAAAGTACAGGAAAGAGGCACAAAGAAACACAGGAGTGGTCCAGATGTCATTTGCTATAGGATTTATCAAAAAGGAAAATCTAGCCTTAAAAGTAGACCTGGGCTGTGTCCAAATTCAGGGGCTGCATCCTAAAAAGGCTGAATATGTCACAGCGATGCACCAAAGGCTGCCCAAACTTGAAGGCTTCTCCGGTTATGGCCCACAAATATGTCCTTTTGTTCAGATTTGAGGGACGGTCTGGGGTATCCTTTTCAGCTCACCCTCTCCCACGATGCATTGTGGGCTGACTGGGATAATGGTGAACTACGTGAGATATATTTTGGATTAAAATTTGGCAGTACCGAAACTGAAAGTTTAAAGCAGTTGTGTTGTTAGATTTTTGTCACTTGCAAAGACATGATTTTAATATTATTCTTGTGAAAAATCACAATAAACAATCTTGTATGGTGGGTTCCTTAATTCTTAATAAACTGCCACTAAGCTAGTTTTATTAATTCATAATTTTGGTAATATCAATATGTTGGTCAACAAAGGACCTTGCTGGGTCCTTGGAAGGACACGGCCCCTGAATTTGGACACAGCTGAAGTGTCATCTTCACAGAGAGGAGCCTGGGCCACAAATAAACCTGCAGTCTGAGCAAAGTACTCTGTTAGGGAAATATAGAACAATAAGATCTTTGATATAGGATAGAACTTTTCCTTTCTTGCAGTGTTCAACTTTAAACCAAATATAAATACTTTATGACTATATCACCACATTTTTTAGCAATAAAAACAACATGAAAACACTGATAAGTAGACCTAAAAACAGAAAATATGTCAACTCTGAACACAAGATTTGAATACAATGATGGCACAAAAGTATCAGAGGTTATTTATCTTATTCACTTAAGTAATTTCACTAGTGAGCAATATTTAATGTATTTTAAATAAAACTTTCATCTTGAACAAATTGACAAATTTGCAACAAAGACTATAACATGACAAACTATTGTCTTTATTGTGGCTAAACACTGGTTCAACCTATACTCTTCAAAGAGTTGGAAATCTAATCTTTCCAATAATGAAGCTTTCTGTCCTCCCTCTAAGTGAGATGGCCTCTGTCCTGTCTGTGTTACATACAGCTGTGTTTCTAGGAAACCTGCAACAACCTGAGATGAGCTGAGAAGTTGTGCCAAATGATGACACAAAAGACGATATGAAACTAAAGGATGTTATGTTCTAGAGAGAGAAAAAACAAAGGACTGAACCACTTTAGTGATATGTACATTTAAAACAGATGCTTTCACCTGCAAAACAAAGGAAGATCTACAGTATATATATTGGTAGCTGAAGTTTTCCATCTATGAAGCAAATGAGTTTAGGAATAAGGTTAAATAAAGTGCAACTAAAACACTAAATCTTAACTGAACCCACTTTTCACAAAGTGAAGATGACTAAATGAATGACATTTTTGGTCTTGAAATATTAAAATACACATCAACAACATGCTCAGACTATTATGGAACACTGGACCACCTTTTTACCCTTTCAAAAATATTTAGGAGTTAATGTTTGCCCTACCAGTCCTTGTGTTTTATTAGCATGGAGAAGTCTTTTGAACCATATCCATCATGAGGTCCTGTGTAGGTGATTTAGGTGTAGCACATAATGAGGATGAGGCTTTGGTTCTCATCCCAACAAAAAGGTGGATTGCTGTTTCCAGCTGGGAAATGTACAGTGGTTTGCAAAAGTATTCATACCCCTTGAACTTTTCCATATTTTGTCACATTACAACCACAAACATAAATATATTTCACTGGAATGTAATG